AGAAAGAAAGAAAGAAAGAAAGAAAGAAAGAAAGAAAGAAAGAAAGATGGTGCAGTTGACTTGGGACATTTAATTGACATGTCACTCAGTTTTCACAGGAATTACAGCAGAGGAGAGGTGAGATCTTTCCTCTCAACATCTTTCGCTTCTCAAGCAGAGCTTAAAAAGTCTTTATGTCCCCATTGAAAGCATACCCTACCCAATCAATGAAGACTGATCGTCTTGGCCCATTGGTCTTCTCAACCTTTCTCCAAAGTCCCCTCACTAACTTTCTCAGCAAAGAGTGGTTGAAGGGCAGCTCTCAGAAGCCCATCATGGAAGACTAGCTCTTACCTTCAGCTGGTTGAAAGTGAGTTGGCCCAGACGACAGTACACCTTGGCATAGTACAGTGCCTCCTTGGGGCTCTGCAGCCATGGTGGGCACAGGGACAGAGTCTTCAGGTAGCAGTCTTCAGCCATCTCAAACATGTTCAGAGAGAAGTACACAGTGGCCAGGCGGTGAAAGGCCACCAGCTCCTGTTTCTGATCTCCTGGGAATCACAAGAGTGAAGGATACCCTGTAGCCAGCACTGGGCAGCATTCACTCATATTCAGCCCTGAAAACTCGCTGACTCTACTAGATGTCAGAGATTAGGAGCATAGGAAAGAGCAAAGAGGAGGTCCCTTCCCTCATGGGGTTTAATGTTTCAGAACGAGGACTCCTTGAATAATCCTACAGCTAAATAGAATATTGCTCCTACGGAATGTGTCACAAAGAACCACAAAATGGGATGCCTGATTTCCAGAAGAAATGTTCCCTGTGCTGCAGATGATATTGCAATCCAGTATGGAGGGGGAAGCTATTTCTTAAAACACATGATGGGTTACAACAACAAGACGAGCTAGATTAAGTAGTTAGGAACTGCTTTTAATAAAGAACACTGAAAGCCTAGTGACATCACAGCTTCTTAATAACTCTCAGTTCCGTGGACTGTACAGTGACCCATTCTCTTTCAAGCATTCTCCTAACAGTGGGCTTAGGGATGAACGTGTTTGAAGTTTGTGAGAGTTCATGATTTTAGTAACTAACCATTTTGGTACAAAGTAGTTTTATTAATACAGAGAACAAACGCTCCTCATCCAATCCTGCCTTTGGAATGCTTGAAAAGTAGCTATTTGATGCCATCTTAAAAAAAAAAAAAAAAACAGTCCAAAGAAGAGAAAAATTCTCTAATTTGGAAAATTACAACCACAGAGAATCATATACAAGGTAAGCCCAGCCTCCTTAAGCTTGTTTCCAGGAAGCAATAGATACAGAGCTCATACTGAGCTGCCCAAGGTCCCTCAGGCCTTTCCTGAAGTCAGTGAGAAACCTCTGAAGAGGTTTCCTACAGTTAAAGTGGAGGAGAAAGGGCAAGAGTCCTCCGGTAAAATTAGAATCAATCAAGCCCACTCCCACCTGTATCAGATGACCTGGAAAATACCCAGAAGAACCTTCTAGAACTATCACAGGTCTCCATCTGCTCCTTTGTCGAATGAAGGCTTCTCTAATCAACACTGTTTTTCCTCAAGCACACACACTCAAGACTATGTTTGTTTTCAGTCTTTTGAATTCTGCTTTTCCTCCCCGCCAACGGTTTACATTATTTCCCTCTAGCTGTCCCTGTATGTGCAAGCTCTCTCAAATATGTTAGGGTTAGGGGAACTTCATTAGCATTTCTACTCCATGGGGGAAATGTGCTTCTGTTAACTATCAACCTATTAAAAAATCAGGGTAAAAAAGTCTTTACCTCATGGGGGAATGTTACCAACTGTGATATAATCATCAGCATTGGCAACCCTGGCAACCTCAGAATGAGGACTCATGTCCCTCATCTCGAGCTGCCGCAGTTATGTAGACAGGCATCGTTTCTTTATTTGAAAACTGCTCTCTTGATGAAGAACAAAACTTGTGGAAACTAGTCTTGCTCAATTACACCCTCTCTGATTGCAGAACCTGGGATTAGAACTCACACAGCCTGAGTCCAAAGCTGGTGGCCACTGCTTCACCAGCCATGCCTGAGTAGTGTTTAGTCCTCTAGCTCCATGCAACCTATGGGTTAGGTCCACCTACCCGTGAGGACACTCAGCCTGGCAGCCAGGGTGGCGAATTCCAAAGCTTTCTCGTAGCCCTCCAGGCTGATCTGCAGCTCAGTCAGCTTGTTGAAGATGCGCAACTCAGTTCGCAGGGCTTTCATTCTCCTCGCTAAAGGAACGGCCCCAGCCTGAGAAGCAAGGCACAGCATCTTAACGTACAGACACATGGCACTTTACGAGGCCTGGCTTCTCCTGGAGGGATTGTGATGACCATGTGTCCCCACTGTTGCCTTTCTTCAACTTAAGTGTGGGTACTTTGACCACACTTAACCAGTTGAAGAACTGGAGGTTGTTGGGCTTTCTAAAATTGGGGCCACTGTAAGCAGAAAGGAAAGTCAAGTTCCTAATGATGAGGACAGGAGATTTAAAAAAATTGTCTAGGCAGTTTAAGGGCAGGGACCCCAAAAGTGAACCATTCCATTGTTTGTTTTCCAAGACAGGGTTTCTCTGTATAGCCTTGGCTGTCCTATAACTCGATTTGTAGACCAGGCTTGCTTCGAGCTCAGACATCCACATACCTTTGTCTCCTGTGTGCTGGGATCAAAGATGTGTGCCACCACCGCCTGGCTCAACAGTTCAGTTTTGTCCTTTGTCAGAAGCGGGACATGTCATTTTTGTCTCTCCAGCCAAGAGTGCCGGGAGAGAGCTCTGGCTTCTTATCACCTGCCTGTAGCCATGTAAGGGGTTAAGCTACCATATGGATACTAATCCCTCCCAGTGAACAACTCTGTGTAGTGAGAATTTTGGCTTCTTTAAAAACCCAGTTATGTGAGTATGTTTTTGTTTTAATCCCAGGTATGGGATATGGGGCTGCTTTAGATTGTCCACAGCAGCAAACTGTAGTTTGCCTCGTGTAGTAACAGGCGAGTGATTCTGCTAGCTGAGGATAGTTGGCATTTGGAATCCTGGGAACTTTTCAGAGAGGATAAATGCCAGAGCCACAAAAGGGGTGGAAGCTCTCCCAAGGAGGAGGAGGAGGGAGGGAGATGGAGGAAGAGGGAGGAGGAGGGAGGAGGAGGAGGAGGAGGGAGGAGGAGGGAGGAGGAGGGAGGCAGCTGCTGCTCTCCTCTGCTGCTCCTGGTTACTGTTATTGCAGTTTGACAAGAAGAAGTTGGATATATTCTGTCTATGAAGCTTGGACTTGCCCCAAGGAATGTGATGACCCAAATCAGCAGGAAGTAATCTAAAGAGACCTACAGCCCCTTTCCCCTCTAACCTTCTGTCTTTCGGACTGGGTGTTGAGGTGTTGGAAGAGATAAGGGTTAGGAGGGAGGTAGAGGTATTAGAGCCTAAATAAAGTAGCCACAAGAAAGAGGGAAAGATAGAAAAAAAATAAGGAGGGAGGAGGGAGGAGGAGGAGGAGGAGGAAGGAGGGAGGGAGGAAGGAAGGAAGGAAAGAAAGAAAAAGAGAGAGAGAAAGAAAGAAAGAAAGAAAGAAAGAAAGAAAGAAAGAAAGAAAGGAAGGAAGGAAGGAAGGAAGAAAAAGAAAAGAAAGAAAGAAACTACAACTCTGGAATGGGGTCTCTAGATTTTCACGGTGAAAATGGATTATATTCATTTTCCAATTTCAGCCTAATCCTAAGTGATTTTAAGGTCTCAGCTCTCGAGGAAGGAATGGCCTTGGAGATCGTTGAGACTATCAAGGCTCTGTTGAGGCCCCATTAAAGAACGGAATCTTCCTCTGGCCCTGGGTGAAGACATGACATTCTCATCTGCTCCAGTGATTAGGAAATATTACAAACAATTGTCTCCCCCATTAAGAGCTAATCCATCTGGGCCTGTCAGTCATGACTAAGGGCCTAAAGCCATGACTAAGAAGAGAAAAGAAACAATTGTCCCCTTGGTGAGACAATGTACTTTCCCTTCCCAGAAACCCAACCCCTGTGGCAACTGCCTGGAGGTCTTCCATCAGGCAGCAATGCTAAACTGCCAAGTCTTGCCATGTAGCCTGGCCACTTTTCTGAGTCCTAACTCAGAAAGATGCAGTGTTTCCTTTTCCTTCCTTTTCCTTTTCCTTTCAGATATTGGAGAAGCCTGGGCGTGCTTTTCTGATGCTCGGATCGTTTGCCATCTTTCACTAAACTGTGCCCTCCCCTACCATGTGGCTACTTACTAACAGCTTAGCTTTCACTCTCCTCTCTCCTCCTGGTGCTGCTGAGATTTACAGCTCACCTGCTTTGTTTTTCTTTTAAACTTTAATAGAACTGTCTTTGGGCTTCTTTATAAGCCAATTTCTAACTTCTTTTATTAGCGTAACTAATAAAAGAAGGCATCCACCGGAGGGCTCCCCAAAGTGTCTCATAACTCTGAGGTCACCTGGGGAGTCATTCAGCTGATATGTGGAATAATCACATGAGCTGGTGTCTGACTGTTCAATAAATAATCATTTCCGTTTTCATAAATCTGTAAGTGTAGTCATGTCACCAGTTCTTTGAGCCTTATTTTTCTTTTCACATTTATTTTTTCTATGTGCATGAATGTGTGCCTGCATGTATGTGCACCACACATAGGCAATGCCTAAAGAGGCCAGAAAAGGATATTGAATCCCCTGGTATTGGAGCTATAGGCAGTTGTGAGCTGCTGTGTGGGCGCTGGGAACCAAACACAGGCCCACTGCAAGAGTAGTAACTGCTCTTAATGAGAACCATTTTCTCCAGCCCCAAGCCTTAGTTTTACTATCCACAAAATGCATATGAAAATAAGCATGTTGATAGTCAATGAGGTGTTTCTTGCTCACCTACTACATTCAGTGACCACCACATATTTGGTATCTAAGCAAGCAACTGAGCAAAGAGTACAAAAACAAGCAGAGTTTTTTCCTGGGACCAAATACTTCCCAAACTTTAGTCAGGTAATAAATAACAATTCATGTATCTGCTATACCTAGACATTTATGTGAGTTCTTGCTTTATCATTTGCAAAAATAACTGGGAAATCATGACTTGATGAGCTGGTGCTATGCATTTTAATTTTTAAAGTACACTTTAATACATGTTTTTAGTGTCTGTGGTGGTGTGGATGGCAGCTGAATTCCTGCTCCCCAGTGGACAGCTTTCCTGGAGGAAGAATATCACTGGGGGTGGATTTGGGGGTTCCAAAGACTCACCATTTCAAGTTTGCTCCCTCTGTTTCCTGCTTGCAGTTTGGGCCGAGAGCTCTCAGACGTAACTGCTACTGTGCCTGCCTGTGGTCACACTTCTCTGATATGATGTTACTCTTATTCCTTTGGAACCACAAGCCCAAGATAAGCCCTTCTTTCTGTAAGTTGTCTTGGTTGTAGCAGCAGAAAAGGGCAGGCAAACAGTGTCTACCCATGCACCCCTTTCGGTCATCTTCTCTAATGCGACATTAGTAAAAGGAGAACACTGATAATCTGTGTATGCTACCACTGTGAAGTGCACTACGCACCCAAGACCTAATCACTACGGCAGATTGTGACAGGCAGGCTCGTATCAGAGTAACGAAGTTGACGAGATCCTTTGCTGAGATGAAGATGTGAGTGAGTGGTGGACAAGGATGATGAAGAGGGTCCAAAAGAGCTGCCCACATTTGTGCCAGGCTCTAGCTCGGCACACCAGGAAGTCCGTGGCTTACCCGGTAATACTCCACAGCGCGATGCCTGTGCCGGGTCCCGTTGAAGAACACATCACCTGCTTCTTCGTAAAGCCTGAGGGCAAGGGAGGGCTCCTCCGACCTCAAGGCTATCTGGATGGCCTCCTAGTGGGACAGAAGAAAAAAGGCTGTCAAAGGCAGAGAAAATGTCATCCAGAGCTCTATGAGACAAGCAGGGCGAGGATCCAGAACCTAGCCAGAATTCCAGAAACCCTAGCCGATGTGGTCTTGCCCTTCACCCACGAGGCTCTGGTAAAAAGGCTAAGATGTGCTCTGTCTGGAGGTCCCCGCCAACCCCCCGTGTGGAAGGAGAACATTCTTCTGGTGGGACTTGGGGAGATCGTAAGAGCGCACAGATAAACAGTCTGTATTTCAATAGTTAAATATTTATTTTGATATGTTCAAAAAAAACATCACAAATGAGTTAAGTCGGTCATTTGCGACATCGTGTAAAGTGTTTCCAAAAGCTTGATTTGAAGTTGAGTCCAAAAAAAAATAAATAAAAAATGGTTCGAGAGGGTGCATGGCTTTAGCAACGGCACCCACTTAATGCATAAATGACTGAAATTGGAAATGTGGGAGCCACCCCGGGCAAGCGAAGACAGCAAGACTTGGAACAAACTCACAACTCCTCCTCCAAGCTCAAGGTCGCCTATCACTAAGCATCAAATTCTCCGTGCTCAGTACCCCTCCCCCAGCCCCCAAGGTTCCCAGGGCTCTGACACAACTCCCCCACCCCCACCCCCGCCAGCTTAGAGAGCACAGCAGTGCCCTCAGGTGGCTAGAAGGAGATATCGCACCCCGACCCACCTGCAAGTACAGTTCCACCAGCTCATCTTCCTGCATGAGGTAATGCAGGCGCCCAGCCCTCAGCCAGGCCTCAGCAGCCTTGTCTCTCTCCCCAAGGTCAACAAAAATACGCAGGCTCTCCTTGATGCAGGAGAGAGATCTCCTGAGGGACCTGAAGACAGATGTGGACCATGAACTGTGGAGGATCCAAGAGCCCGGGGGTCACTCAACCCAGGAGGACCGAGTTTCTGGAAGAGAACAAGCTAGCCGCAGGCAAAAGCTGATTGGAGTCTCAGCCCCGTGACCTTGAGACAGTAGGGTACCTACCTATGCCTGGGTTTCCCCATCTGTAAAAGGGGAAGGCAATTGTTCCTGCCTTAGAAGAGAATTGTGGGGACTGAAAAACATAATGCAGCCAGAATGTTCAAACTGCTGACATAATAAGCAGATGATGACTATTTAAATATCAGGACTGTCGTTACTGACCCATATCCCTCAACTACACTGCTGCATGTTTTTCATAAGCACCTTAGAAGACCCCAGACCTGCTTTTATGAAACTAATGCCCGTGTGGCCATAGCGATGTGTAGTAGGTAACTTAAAGTCATGAAGAAGATGTTGGTGTTCCATCAAGAAGAGCAATCAACACAGACTGAATTTTTTTGAAGTTAATACTTAATCCTGCTTTAATTATTTGAAAAATGCTCTAATGACTTGGGTACTCTTTAATTATTTAGGGAAAACTTGTCGTGTACAAAATGCAAGTTCCCCATGACATCAATCAATGAAGAAATGTGACTCGGACGGTGGTGGTACAGACCAAGAGTTAGAGAACAGCATGGACCATGGCATCCTCTGTGCCACAGACCTCCAGCAGCAGAGTCACTTGAAGTCTATTTAGACATACACATGCAGCCAAGCTGTGTAATTCACCGTACTATGTTGAAATGTCACTCTAGCTGGAGCCCTGGATTGTCTGGGATTGTGACCCAGGCAAGAGCATCGTGTGATTCAGGTTAGGATGTGCTGTTCCAGTCCAACCATTTTATGCTCTAGAGAAGTATTTCTCAACCTGTGGGTTTCGACCCCTTTGGCTAACCTCTAGCTCCATATATATATATATATATATATATATATATATATATATATATATATGGTTCATAACAGTTGCAAGATTACAGTTAGGAATTAGCAACAATATGGTTGAGGGTCAACACAGAATGAGGAACTGTAGCTTTAGGAAGGGTGAGAACCACGGCTCTACAGGAAACAGTTCCAGAGATGGAAGGATCAAAACCCAGAGCCCCACCCACAGTTCTGAAACCCCACACCCACCCTCACCCCAACCTGTGGCCTCCATCAATATTACCTGAGAGCTTGAGAAGGCTACAGACACCAGAACCACCTGGGGCTAACTAAATGTAAGCATGACAGTTACAAGCCACAGATCTGAGTTGCTAAAACACCCTCAGTTTATGATCACAGGCACGGGAGTCCAGAACACATTGTCTTCTCGAGATACCAAATGTTATCAGCCACAGCTGTGAACATGCACACAGAACCACACTCGGAGGGCAGTTCCCACCGGATGTGCTTTTGATATGGCTTGGCTCACGAAGGTTAATGGGTTGGGGGCTTGATCTCCACTGTAGCAAAACTGAAAGGTAGTAGGGCCTATAAAATACAGGACTTAATCTAAGGTCATTGGCTCATGGGCTACCAGAGGCATGGTTCACAGAGGAATTAAATGTCTCTCCTGGGACCCGGGTTACTTCTTGTGAGCATTGAATTGTCCTAGAGGAACAGCATAGCTCTGGTTTCTTATCTCACCAAACACTCTTGCCATCATGATACCATTAGCCAAGAGTCCTTTGCCAGACCTGATGGCACCATGCCTTAGTGCCTAGCCCAAAGTATTTTGTAATAGCAATGGAAAACAGATTAATACGTCAGCTCATCGCAGACAACTCCGCTGTCAGGCCCTTTTTCCAATGAGGGATGCATACACTTGTCTTAACTGGTGACCTCTGATGCCTTTTGGCAATGACAGAGCTTTTGGCCTTCTGAAAAAAGTGCCCAGGCATTTGGCCCATGTAGGAGTTAGGAAAGAACTCCAGTTGTCCCTACTGCCCTGCCCTTGACATAAGATGATTGGCATCCAGGGCGAACATTAGACTCTCTCAAGTCTTAGAGACCTACAGCTGGGACAATGCTGAAAGCTGAGGAGCTGCATACAACACTGTGAAGGCCACTGACCTCCCCGATCAGGTAGGAACCACAGTCCTTTTAAGACCCAGGAAGCCCCAACCTTCTCTCCTCAAGTTGGAACAAAGAGAGTTAAAGGATTCCAGGCCTGACTTCACTATTCTCCTCACTCTGACCGGAACGAATGGTGAAGACAGAACTCGTAAATCTCATCTTGATCCTATTTCCTGTTGTGTTTTTATTACCACTTACTGTCCTCAGATGTCCTTGCACTAAAATTTCTGTCTCCAGATCCTTGGGGAACAAGATTTAGATTCTCAGCAGCTAACACACAGAGTAGGCATTTGCTTCCTTGCCAGGAAAAGAAGAGTTAAGAGCTAAGCATTTTGCTCTAAGGGTGGGGGTGGGAGGGAAAACATGGAGACCACCACATGAGTGGAGGATTTTCACCAAGACACACATTCATCTTTCCAAAAGTGCTTGCACAGTCTAAACTGAGGTGTGTCCAGATGCCTTAGTACTTTCTTATCAGTCCTTACCACCCCGTTATGATAAATCCAACAGCTGTGCTGTGTCACACCCAGGCTTGACCTGGAATGACTCCGCATCCTAATTCCTCTTGCCACCAGATGAAGACTCTATATCTTGGTCTGCCCTCTAAGTCAAAAGAAAAAAATAGTATATGGCATGTCAGCGCTGATTTACTCATGTGAATCCTCCACTTCCTGTCCAAACAGGTGAAGCGTGGCAAGGAGAGCCCAGCACATCTGTATTCCCAGACAGTGTCCCACCAGCCCTGCCTGGGTAAGGCCTGGGGGAGCCTGCCTGACCTGTAACAGGGTCTAGTCTCTCGTGTCCTTCTCCTATTGCTAGAGCCTTACTTTCAGGGGTGAGAACTGCACTTTCAATGGCCATTCTCTCATTCACCAGCCATAGAAACTTTAAACTAGCAAGCCGCTTCGCTGAGTGTACAAATAAATAGCAAACAAACAAACAAACAAAAATACACTCCCAGGTCCCCCCGTTCATTTCTAGTTTCTAAAGCTTTATTTTTAAGACTCTCTGTTACTCATTGATTGTGGTAGGGGCAATGTATTTGATTGTTACATAAAATTAACTGAGCCTTTAGCATGCTCTGGGCACTTTGCACACATAGACTCAAGTAATCATCACAATACTACTACTATTATCATCCCGTTGACAAAAGAAAAATGATACTAATGAGGGCTGGTTGAAGAGATGGCCCTGTGGATTAAGGTGCTTGCTACCAAGCCTGAAGATCTGAGTTCCATCACTAGCATCCACACGGTAGATGCAGGGAACAGACTCTGAAAGCTGTCCTTTGACTCCATATGTGCAACATTGCACATGTGCTGTGGCCCTCTCTCTCCCTCTCTCTCTCTCTCTTCCTTTCTTTCTCTCTCTTTTCCTCCCTCCCTCTCTCCCCCCATCTCCCTCTCCCCTTCCCTCTCTGTGGATATATGTGTGTACATGTGTGTGTCTGCCTCTCACACACATGCATGTGCATGCACACACACACACACACACACACACACACACACACACACCATAAATAAATGTAATGAAAATTGGAAAAATAATGGTCAGAAAGTGTAAGTAACTGTGTGTAGGCATTGAGCCATATTTAAACCAGAATCAAAGCACATTCAAGCCACATTTGCTAAATTTCTGGCTTAGCTATCAGTTGTGGGAAAGCTTTGATTTTGTTTACCACTTTAAAAAAAAAAAAAAAAGGCTGAAAATGTCAAGGGCATAAATGATTACAAACCCTGAACAGAATTTCCTCAACTGCAAAAGCAGGTGGAAGTGAAGCACAGCCTTGGGATCAAGTGTGGGCACACCAAATGCAACTGTTTCCTGGCTGAGGATTGCAGAAGAGTTAGGGATTAGTCATATTAGTCATATTAGAAGCCAAATGTTGGAGGCTTTTTGTTGTTGTTATTTCTGCTGGCTGTCGTTTTTATTTTAGTTTCACAGAAGCAAGCAGAGTAGAATAAAAATAAAAGCTAAGATCCTAAGCTAGGATCATATTCACACACAGAGACTAATCAGTCTCCACAAGGGCTGGCTGCATGCAAAGCATTACCTCTTTCCAGTTAGAGTTATGTGGGTACGCTTACCAGATTTCTCCAACTGTGTTGGAGACTGTTTTTTTTTCTGTTCCCTTTACTATTCTATAAGCCTAACCAGCTCAGGGACTATATAATGCCTTTATCTGCTTTCTAGCTTGTTGTCTGGGCCGTAGAAAATGATAAATAAATATTTGTCGGGTGGATCCAAAAATACCACAAGGTTCTCTTGAACCCTATCTGGTTCAACTCCGGAACAGGGGTTGGTCTATGTGGTGGTTTGAATGAGAGTGTGACCCCCCCACCCCTACCCCATAATTTGGTCCTTAGTTGGTAGAATGGTTTGGCAAGATTAAGAGGGGTGGCCTTGCTAGAGTGCGGCCTTACTAAAAGAGGTTTGACTCCAGGTTGAGGTTTCAAAAGCCATCATCCCCAGGGCGCTCTGCATACACACCCCATTGCAGATCTGAGATATGTGCTCTTAGCTGTCCCTGCCACCATGCTCTCACACCGCCATCCTGAACTCCAACCCTCTGAAACCAACCTTGGTCATGGCATTTTACTACAGCAGGAGAAAAGCAACTAACAAAGTCTGTACCAGTCAGATGAGGACCAAGGAGAAGAGCCACAAAGACTTCTCCCACCCAGAGACTGAAACACGTTGTCCAGCCCCAGTCTGGGTGTCACCTGGATGACAGAAAAGACATTATTCTATAGGTACTGAACAGTAAGCCAAACTTTTCATCACCTACCCAACGCCTCCCACCTTAAACACCGAATAAAGTCGCTATAAGCCACAAAGCAATTATAACCAGCAAAAAGACAGAAGAGGGAAGCCACCTTAGATAGGACAATCAGGAATTTGAGAAAGGCCCAG